TACCCATCTGGATCCAACAGGTTTCTTCCTCTCAGTCTAGTCAACTAGTTCCCATGTGTTCTTAACAAGAGCATCCATCTCTACTTTCACTATTTCCTTCCAGTCAGGTATCAATAGAGCTTCTTGCACTATTTTGGGTATAGGAATAGTAGCAATAGATGCCAGGAAAGATCTATAGGATTCTTAGGGACAATCATAAGAAAGGAATTTGAAGATACAATGTGCAGTGGATGAAGTACAACAACACTTCCCTTTACGAATGGCAATTGGGAGATCAAGGTCATCTGAAGGCGGAGGCTGAGGGTCAACGGTGTTAGGCAAAGTAAATGCAATATTGGGCTCAACAGTGGGAACAGTGGTAGTGCCTGGATCTGGAGCTATAGAAGATGTTGGGATTGACTTGGACTACTGTTGAGGACGGGAATCAACCTGCCTCCACCATTGTCTGTGATACACTCTCAATTCCTTGCACTTTTGGCATTCCTCTTCACGACACTCTCCTTCAGCAACTGGGACAGGTAATGGAACTTTTGGGGCTGAAATCCCTTCCTCACTACTCTCCCCTTGAGGAGAAGCCCTATGATAGTAGGGCATATCCTCAAAAAAGGTGACATCCATGGACACAAAATGCCTCCCTAAAATAGGCTCATAACAACAATATTCCTTTTGATTTTGTGCATACTCAAGGAAAATACATTTAGCAGCTTTGGGATCAAATTTGGAACACTGAGGTCCAAGGATTTGAACAAAACACGTACACCCAAAAGTTTTAAGTGGAATAGTGAACATGTCCTTGTTTGGATACAAAAGGTTGAATGGTGTTTTCATGTCTAGAACCCGTGAAGGAATCCTGTTAATAAGGTAAACAGCTGTATGGATTACATCCCCCCAGAAGTGTATGGGAACATTAGAGTTGAGCATGATGCTTCTGCTGAAGTGTACGGGGACATGTGCTTTAATGAATGACCCCATGATCTAGGAGGTATGATGTCAAGGGTTTTGCAAAGTACTCCTTGGCATTATTGGTTTTGAGAATTTTGATCCTAACTTCAAACTAGGTCAGTACCATCTGATGGAAAGCCTGGGTTAGAGAAGGGACCTCATCTTGAGAGTGCATAAGGTAAACCCACAAGAAACGTATAATCATCAACAAATAACAAAAAGTATTTGTACCCCCCCCCATAGCAGGAGTATGATATGGCCCCCAAACATTTGTATGCACTATTTTAGAAGGAATATTGCTTCTTTTATTGCTCAAAGGATAAGTTGATCTACAATGTTTTGCAAGTTCGCAGCTTTCACACCTCAAACTGAAGGAAGGGAAAATCCATCATATGGATGGCTGAACCATTCTGGGTGATAGGACAAAATTTCAAAAATTTCTTTTTACCCTTCCGGGGAATCGCATTCCCAGCTTTAGAAAAATTGCATTTTTCAAGGATTGTTCTTGCACCGAACCGGACCAAATCTGAAACCAAAAGAAAGGGAGAAGAATACCTGATACGGATTCCACACATCTAGTTCCCAAAGTGGGTGTTTACGCCCAAAGTGGGTACCAAAATCAGCTTCCACTGAAGATGGCGCAACTTAGGGTGAAGCTGGTTCAGCAATGCAATCCTTCAGCAAGAACTGCAATCCAACAACTTGGATCGAGCAAGGGATATAAGGACGATGCAAATCTGATTTTTCTTGCAAAAATCAGAAACCAAGACTGATCAAGATCAAACACCAGATGGAGAACGAACTAGGGTTTGGGCGGCAAGAGCAGAGGGAGAGAACTAAGAGCAGATGTAATCTGGAGCAGTTTGCCCTCTTCTATTTATAAGCCTTAAAGATCAACTCTCCTAATCCAAATCTTTATTTGGATTTGGACTCTTTAAGTGGATAAGAGTTCTCTTCTTATCCCATTGCTGATCTAAGCCCATATCCATACTCATATTCGCCCAAGTCACATGACTGCTTTAAGTTGTCATGCGACACCCTGATTATTCTAATTAATCGTGGGCCTTAGGCCCATTTAACAAGTGGCTCACGTCCCCTTTTAGTTGCTGACCAATTTAGCTCTGTTTGTATGGCGTGGGACCCCAACAATGACCTCACATAAGCCCATATGGGTTCAGCCCAGCTTTTGTGAAAAAGCCTGGCCAAATTCACTGTCAAACACAATAAACCCCTGAGTCCATCAGTATGGGCTTTTAATGGGCCCAACATTTACACTAAATGGTCCTTGAGTTCAACCATCCTATGAAGGCCCAAGGACAATGGTCTTAAGTGAGATTAGCCCATTAGGTATAACAACCCTAAATGGTCTTACACTTAACCTCTCAACCCTCATTGATCAAACACTGTCCGACAAGGGAGGACCTCTCCCTCGGCTGCAAGGTGTAGTGTTGCACTCTCTACTCGGATGGATCCTAAGAATTAAAACCTTTTGCAAACTTTTCCTTATATATATTTTCATATAAATATATTTTGCAAAACAGATCTCAAACAAGTTTGAAATCGACTGCCGGTAGTTTTGGTTTCCATCAGAGAGAGTACTGTCCCGATCATTCACTTTGTCTAACAAAGGGGCTGATCCTGTCACTGTGATCACCCACTCGAGTGAGTTCTCAGACTGCCCCAACATACCCAGGTTTTGACCCCCAAAGGATCTCACTGATTGGCATATCAAAGAAAGCCCAATCCGACACCCAGTGAAGTACCATAATCGAGTCTAGGGGTTAGGTGTAACTTTCCAGTTTTACCCGCCAGTCTCCAAGGTCCAGGGCATAACTGGAAAATAGTCCGGGTTCAGTGTTTCAATCAAACACACACTACATGTGCTTCGGGTCTAACCCTGGCAGCTGAGACAAGCTACCCGAACCTACTTGGAAACACATTAGTGTTAGCCTTGGCAGGATAAACTTCCCTAAGTCTATCCAACGGCTGAGAATATTCTAAACTAACACGAGCAATCCTTGTGCTGGAAGTGGATGCACTATCTGTAATAGCTGCCACAATAGCACTCCCCTTCTTGTTTCTAAGTCGCACTGGCATTAGGTGGGGATGCAACTTCCAACAAGTGTCCCTAGTATGTTTTGGCTTCTTACAATGATCACAAAAAATGTCTCTTTTATCTTCCTTCTTTCTTTCCTTTTCCTTCTCCCCTCCAACCTTAGATTTTGTTGCTGCAAAGGCTGATTCCATAGGCTGAAATGATAACATAACCTTCCTCCTATTCTCTTCACTGTGAACCAATGAATAGGTTTGAGATAATGTCACACTCTCCCTAGTGAGAAGTTACTGTCTTATAATGTCAAAATCTGAGTTCAGACCAGCTAAGAACTCAAACACTCTATTTGTTTCAATCAGTTTTCTATATGTTGTTGCATCCCTCTAACTTTTCCACTCAATAATTTCCAAGTGATCAATTTCATGCCAAAGGGATTTCAGAGTAGCAAAGTACACTGAGACTGGCTTCTCCCCTTGCTTGAGATTATTCACTTCACACTTCAGCTCATAAGCTCTAGCAACATTAAGAGGTTGGGAGTATGTCTCCTTCATGGTGTCCCAAATCTCCTTGACTGTTTTTGCCCAAAGGTAGTTTCAGCTGATTTGAGGCTGCATAGAGTTGCATGGCCAAGTCATCACTAAATAATTCTCTTGAACCCATTTTGGATGTGATATGTCTTCCTTGGCTGGCTTCTTTGTGTCTCCAGTCACATAACCTAATTTACCTCTACCTCCAATGGCCATCATTGCTGATTGGGCCCATTCCAAGTAATTGGTTCCATCAAACCTAACAGTGGTAATCTGAAACGAATTTTCAGTCATGATACTAGTCCCAAAAGGTCCTTCCCCTTGTGTTTTTAACTCATTTCCAGCCTTCTCCATTCTATGTAGAGCACTAACAGATCAAAAACTCCAAGAAAATAACCAAAAAGAATTTCTTTTCTGCTGAAACACTAAGAAATTTAGAGAAAAGAAACACCCAGAATTTAATCACAGCAATGAATAGTCACCAAGAACTTGATCTCAATCGATAGTTACTTTCCAAGAAAGCATTCACAATCAAAGGTCAACTCCCCAGTTCATCATCAGTCAAAAATCAGTCCTCGAGTCCTCAAAAACTGATCGTAGGGTTTTAAACAAGGGAGAAAACAGCAGGGAATACTCAGATTTATCAGCCGTTGCTTATAGAGAGGGTTAACACCTTCTAACCAAGATCAGCTCTACTAAAAATTGTACCTTTCTCAGAAAAAAACTCTGATCGCTACCTCGGTTTGAAACCCTAATCTTGGTTGCACCTAATTTCTCCTATTCTTCCTGGTCACCGGGCAATCTTCAAGAATCTTTCACTTTCTTGGGCAGTCTCCAATACTCCAGCAACCTCCAAGAACCAGGCGCTACTGCAGAAGATCCAGTTCTAAAGAATTCTCATGTAGCCGACCAGATCAAGCTTACATGAGAACCCTAGTCTTTCCTCGCCAAGAGCTCTGATACCAACTTGAATAAAAGAATAAAAAGGTGTGTTCTGATGTAATTCAGGAAGAAAGAAAAGAAGTCAACTGAGCTTTGAAGAGAAGAAAGAAGAAAAGGGGTTCGGTTAGATTAATTCTGCCGCCCCACTAAATATTATATATATATTCATGTCCTTACAAAAGGAGTTACTCTAATACCCCTACTTAAAACAAAAGAAAAATAAACAAAAAATAAACAAGGCCCAACCGGCCCAACTACCAAGACTGTAACATAAGGAAATAAATAATAAAATAAAGTGTGGCTGGAACCACACACACACTAATGACCTACTAACTATCTCTACATATTCCCAAGCTTGAGTAATTTACATGGTTGGTATTGAGAGTTGGGAACTTTGATCAACATATAGAAGTTGTTCCGCCTATCAAAAAAATAATAAAAACATATAGAAGCTGTTCCTTATTGATAACTGTTCCTTATGGAAACTGTGCCACTGGAAATAGTTGTTCTTGGATTAATATATGATCTAATTTCAGGTTTGATGGGGTTGCACCAGAACCTCGAAAAGGAATAAGAAGTGGTCATGTACCAGGCAGCAAGTGTGTTCCCTTTGTACAGGTAAAAGCACAACCAATGAGATAACTCATATTTAATAACTTGGAAGTTGGAACCTACTATGCTGGGAAATGATGGAAGTATTCATATGTTTCCATAATTTAGATCATCTTTTGTTTATGAATCCAATTTAATTTCTAAACAAACCTACAATTGAACTCTAGTTCTTAATTAGGTTATAGATCCCTCTGTCTGAAGTTTGAACCAAATAGTCCTTAAGCTAAGGTTTTATTAGAAGGCAGATCCCTCAACCATGTTAGATACTTGTTTCCTAAGAAGCAATTGTTTAGTAAAATTGCACCAAACAATTGCATAAATTAACACTTAAAAGAATCATTTTCCACATCTGGGAAGATTCCTGAATCTGCACAGATTGGTTTTTCACCTATTGAATGAGACCAAGATCTTGTGAATCTAATGATTGTAAAACTCCACATCTGGGATTAATAGTTTATAGAACTTTTGGATTTTTGAAAATCTAAAGTTTTAATGATATCATCTTTCTTCGAAACAATTTTTCAGTGATCAAAAGTCAAGACTTGTCCATTTTGCGTGAGGCAAAGATCTTGTGAAATTGATTTTTTCTTGATGGATAACTTGACTTTACTACGATGAAATAGAATGAATAGAATATAACTGAAAGGACCCTTCACTTCAGGTGGTGATGCCATCACCACCTAAACACTCCAATTTTTTTTCAATTTTTTACACCCTGTCTAGCCAAATTATCAGCCATATTGTTGGTTGATCTACGGGTCAATACACTTTCTACAATTCTATCCCTTCCCAACTCTTGATGGATAACTTGACTCTTACTACGATGAAATATAATGAATAGAATATGTACAACAGAAAGGACTCTTCACTTCAGGTGGTGATGCCATCACCACCTAAACACTCCATTTTTTTTTTTCAATTTTTTACTCCCCAAACTCATTACAATTCTGTAAGAACATTCGGTCCCTGTTTACACTCTGTCTAGCCAAATTATCAGCCATATTGTTGGCTGATCAACGGGCCAATACACTTTCTACAATTCTATCCCTTCCAACTCTTGTATTTCTTTTATCATATTTTGGTGCTGCCAAGGAATTTGATTTCTGCTGTTCATCCAACCTATTACCACCCTTGAGTTGCCCTTCATAATCAAATTGTTGAAATTTAGGTATCTTGCTAATGTTAAGTCCTGTACTGTGAATCTTATATGTTTTAAGAAAGTTGTGAGCCATTTACTAATAGGATGTAAGTTTGTAATGGTACTAGGAATTGGCTTTTCTTTGTTTAATTATAGTAGGGGTTGTAGCGAGTATTTAGAGTTGGTTTAGGATTTAGAGTCCATATCAAAGTTTTCTAATGGGTTGTACATGAATTTGTCTTTTTAAAGGAATTAGATTTAGGAATCAATTATTGTCAGTTTCCTAGTTGAATTGTAGATAGTAAAGGGAAGATGTAAATCCATGGGTTGAGTCCTTAAATAGAGTCATTGTAATGGAAACTTAGATGAATGTATTTGATAAATGGTTTTGATCAATACATGACCAAACCTCAGAAGAAAGTTAAGAGAAAGATGAAGAAGAAGACTGTTAATGTTTAATAAAACTTTATTTATCAAGTACTCGATCTCCCCCTCCCCCCCCTCTCAGAAGAAGAGAAAGATGAAGAAGACTGTTAATGTTTCTTTGATAAATAAAGTTTTAGAAACTTAGAAGAAATGATTTGATAAATATAGTTTTAGTGAATTCTGGTAGTAGCCAGATCTCTCTCTCTCAACATCAACAATCTAAGGTTTGACCAATATGCCCCATATCTAAGGTTTAACCGAGTATAAATTGTTTGTACTTCAACAATCTAACTTACAACATCAACAAAAAGAAATGAAGCAATCTTGTTTAGGGTTGCAAGTCAGGCCGGGTTAGGTCAGGTTTCCATTCTAATCCAACCCAAGTTGTTAAACCCCAACCATAACCCTAATCCAACCCCACTTTTTCTGGTTGGGTTGAATTACTTCATTTTGTTAAAATGTTCTTATTTCATATATTCAAGATTAATGGGTTAAGGGTTACTGGTTTTAGCATTAATATATATACAAGGAGTACTACAATTGTATCATACTAGAAAGTTTTTGCCTTAAAAAATTGTTATTATATATTTGTTTATGTTTGTTTATGCATATTTGTATGCACGCACATGCATACTACATATTTGTTTAATATTTATACATGCAAATATGAAGATATTGGGTTAGATAAGGTTTCCCAAGGGTTCAATCCGACCCAATCCAACCTGACTCCAGGTTAAGTTCAGGCTAACCTGGCCCAAATTGCACTCCTTATCTTGCTTATGTCCCAAAGACCTCCATTAGAAATTAGATGAGTTTAAGATGGACATATGCCAATGTCAACAATCTGCTTACTACATCAACAAGAACAAAGAAAGAAATTCAGTTAATGTCACAGAAATTCACTAGTTATTCTCAGTGTCCAATATCCTGACCACAGGAATTTTCATTTTCTATTTCAATCTGTTTCCAATAGTTGTGACAAAGCTCTTTTGAGTTGGTATGAGCTTATTAATTATTTCTATATGAGAAATAGTGATTTTCTGAATGCCCAAACTCTTGATTGTACTTGGCAAACTGTCCAACCTTTATTACCAGAGAGGGCAGTTCTGGTTATGCTTACCAGTTTTGAAGTCCTTAAAGATTGATTCTTCATCTCCTGTACTTACTAACAAAAAACTCTGAAGTTATCTATCAAAAAAATAAAGCTTCTGAAGTTCATTTTGTTCTTCAATTAACCTGGGAATATATATAAATATTAAGTTGGGCATGTTGCCCTCATCTTTTTCAGATTCAATTGGTTTGTTTTATCTCTTTTCTTTTCTTCCCCCCTTTTATGTTAGATAAAGTTCCTTATCATGCCAAAAATAATTTCTCTTAGGCCTGGTGTTTCTTTTCTTTGCTGTCCATCATTACTTACCAAGCTTAATTGTACTATTTCCATGAGATTTTTCTGTAATCTGTTTTGGCTTCTTACAGATGTTGGACAGCTCACAGACCCTTTTACCTGCAGATGAGCTTAAGAAAAGGTTTGAACAAGAAGGTAAGGACTATCTATATATTAGGATCAGTACATTGTGTATTTGGTTAGATATTTAACTGCCTGGTTTAAGTAATTATTTCTTGCCAACTCAAGGGAAGGTTCAGCCAAGGAGACTCCATCGATTCTCATAGGACCTAAACAAAACTGGTCTGGGCAGGTTGCTAAGAAGTGTGGGATTTCTTTCTTTTGAGAGAGAGCAATTGGACTCAGTTGGAGGGGGATCATTCAATGATCCAAGGTTGCAAGTAGATGTCATACATCCGTTCTAGAGTTACCATAAAGTTTGAACATTGGCTAAGCACTTGTAGCCATGTAGCATAAAAAAGATCACATCCATTCACATGCATCCATCCCATTAAGGAGTAAGAAACAAAGCAAATAAATTAAATAGGCTGGTCCAATTAAAATTTTAGCATAACAGGCCCATAGTCAAACTTATTTGTCAATTAGAATAATGCTTGCTAGTTGGGCTTTAAAGGCCCAAATTTAGGTCAGCCCATGAAGGCATGGCCGGTTCAGCTATGAGCTTATTTTTCTCTAATTTAAATTGGGCTTATGGCCCATCAATGGGGTCTAAACCTGATTGACATCTCAGCACTTTAATCCATGATTTATTTAAGTTTGACCCACCATATCAGTGTCCAAACGTTGCTGTAAGAGTTCAGCTATTATTGGACCAATTCGGTTCTAACTTAGAGTCAAATTGATCTTAAATTTTCATTGGTTTAAGTGCTGCTAAACGTTAAAGCAGTTTCAGGTTATCTGATCTGAATTAAGTCTAATTTAAACAAATCAATAGTCAACCACACAAACAGACTAAATCAAGACAATGTGAGGGCTGCAACATGCTTGGCCAAATTGTCTTTTTCCGGGTTCCAATTGCTTGAGATCCTCTCCATGATCTTCCCTCGTGTGATCCAGTATTTTTTCTTCAATACTCCAAAGAAAAAAAAATAAGGAAAAACTGTCCTATTGCTTACAACTGAAATATATTCATCTAATGGAAAAAAAAAAAACTTACAATAGGAAAAACACATGGGAAACCACCCATCAGAAGTGGACACCCAGTGTGATTACAACTGATTAATTCATATAAAAGGAGAGAGAGAGAGAGAATTATCATCCATTCAACCAATCACAATAATACCAAGCCTTATTAAATTAACCCTAATTTCAGAACACACACCCCTAGAAAGAACTATTCTCTCAAAACAAAAACTTGAAAGAATTGCAAATCACAGATATCCTGAACTAACCATATCTGCAATTTCTTAAGAAAACTTCTAAACCTGCTCTGATACCATTGTTGGAAAGTGGTGCAGTGGAATGTGTCTGGGATGTGCAATTTAAAATTTCAATTTCCAATTGATTGTCCCTGACTGTAGATTGTAGACTAGTGGAGAAATCTTGCTCTCAAATCAGATCAACATGGGGTTTGGAGCAAAACATAATTCAGCCTAAAAGAAACTGACTGATTAGAGACTTACCACAAGCACAGTAAGATCCTAGTGTAGTTGATGACCAACAAGAATGAACCCCTTTGCATTTTCAGCAACATCATAGTTGAAAGGGAGAAGGAAGAAGACTGTTCTCTACATTTTTTCTCTCAGCTGAACTCTAGGAAGAAGAATACCTGTTGTGTGAATTGGTTGCTTCGACCTAGGGTTTCTTGGGCTTTAAATAGATTCCCAAGTTTCCCTAATTCAAGTCCTAGTAGGAGAACAGAGAGCCAGAATCTCCAACTCCTAATTCGGCCATAGCTGCTTTTAGCAATTTGCTAGTGAAACTAGTAAACTACTATTTTGTTCAAGTCAACCTTCCTACTCCTATTGCCGGCCAAATAAGTGGGAGTGCCTCTTTTTGTTATGTGTGGGATCCATCCATTAGAGTACATCTCCAACCATCTTAAGAGCATCCAACATAACTGAATCGAATCCAACTCGTGGAATCCAATTGGAATTTCATTACCACTTATTTAACCTCCCACTTAGGCATTTCCTTGTGTATAAACTGGTGAAATATATGCCTGTAAGGGGCATTTTGGTCTCTTAGCACAGCATTGTATTTTCCCCTATTTAGAATAAGTTAATAGAGGCATTTTTGTATTTTCATACATTCTAAAGAATGGAACAACACTGCAGGTTGACAAGGAGAAGAGTTCAATTCGTATCTTAGACCCTTTTTAACTTTCTTCTTGTTCTCTACTGTAGAAGACAACTTTCTCTACCCTTTCCCCAGATGTAAATCACACCTGTACAAATCTGATAATAAAGTAGAAAAAAGAAAGAAGAATAAGAAGAAAGAGAGTTCAGAACAAGAGGAACAAGAGAAGGAAAGGAAGAAAAGGAAGAAGAGAGACCATCAAACCTTTCTCCAGCCCCCAAATTTACTTTTATTAGCACACATTGTAATCTGAATATAATTACAAGTATACCCTTAGTAGGGTGGCCAGCTAAATAAGACAATAAAGAAAAAAAAAAACTAAATAGGCCCATAATTTGAGGCCCACTAATAAAGATATAAGACATAACAGTGTTGTAACTAAAACGAAAAAGAGCTATGGCCCATCCAACCCAATATCTCTACAGTCCCCCTCAAGCTGAGCATAGATATCAATCATGCCCAGCTTGTTTACTTAGTTTTGCAATTTTTCCTTAGATACACCCTTATTTAGAACATCTACTAGTTTCTCATTTGAGGCAATGAAAGGGAGACAAACTTCTCCGAATGCAACTTGTAGAGAAGATGGGCCGAATGGCCCATAGACTGTTTGTCTTATTTTGTTTCTTTATGTTCTTTGCTGTAATGGGCCTCAACTTGGACTTTTTTCTCTTATGTCATGTCTTTTAATCATCTGCCCAACTAAGGGCCTCTCTGTAAATTACTAAAATTAAGTTAATGAAATAGGATTAGGGGTGTAAGAGGAGGTTATGTCTGAACCCTTATTGCTGCCACCTTCTTCTTCCTCTTCTCTCTTCTTGAAATCTGATTTCTGCTTTTCTCAATCAATTTTCTACAACATTTTGAATAGTCCTTTCATTTCAAAAGGCCGTTTTTCTTCTTGGTATCAGAGCGGGCTCTTCTTCTCTTTTTCTCCTCTTTCTTCCCATACACAGTGTGTATGGAGAACTAAATCGGATGAATGGTTAAAGAAACAATTTTCAGCCTAGTTGTTAGTGGTTTCTAGAGAGGAGACTGTCTTTGTCGTCCTCTTGACAATATCAAGTGTGTTGCCCGAAACCCTAATTAACTGGAGAAATCTGATTGCGGGCCCCATAGGGAGTTTGACCTGGGCGCTCAGTGACTGAAAGACTTCTTGTTCTTCATCTTAAAGATCAATTCAAGTTGCTTGGTGTTCTGTGAAGTCTACAAGGTTTGGCTGAGTTTTTTCTGTTTCTCTCGGGTTCCGAGTGTGACACAGTTAACAGGTACGGCTGCATAGAGGGATTCACAACACAATATTTTTTTTGTCTTCATTGATTGTTATTTGAAGTTATTAGAAGTTATTTTTGAAGTGTTTTAAGAAGATGGACCCTTCAGAAGTTGAAAACAAGCATGTTGCTGAATCCGGACAGGTTCCGGGAGCCTCTGTTGACTCTCTACTGGCTATGACCACAGTCAAGCTAGATGCTAATTATCCGGCATGGTCACAATCAATAAAAATTCATATCTACAGTAGAGGCAAATGGAGTTATATCTCCGGGAGCAAGAAGGCTCCCTCGGAAGATGATCCATCCTATGAAAAATGGATGCAAGAAAATTATACTGTAATCGGATGGTTAGTGATTTCAGTGCAACCTCAAATTAGTCAACACTATTTGTGGATGAATTCATCAAAGGAAATATGGGACAGTGTTGCTAAAACCTATTCCCAGAAATTAAATATAGATAGAGCATACAAGCTGAGGAGTGATGTGAAAAATTTAAGGCAAGGGGAGAAACCTTTGGTTGTTTATTTCTCAATACTGAAATCTCTATGGCAAGAAATTAACTTGATGGAAACTATAGCCTGGGAAAGCACTAATGATGCTGAGACCTACAGGAAACTTGTTGAGAGAAACAGGGTGTTTGAGTTTTTGACAAGACTAAATCTCAAATATGACATCACAAAGCAAAATATCTTGTCCAAGTGTAGTGTTTCATTGTCTCAAGCCTATGCCTTGGTAAGCAGTGAAGAAAGCAGAAGACTAGTCCAATTTCAAGGAGCTAGTCTAAATGATCACTTTGCTAATATGGGGGTGAAACCTAAGGGAATTACAAGAAATTCAGTTGGCTCAGGCAGTGAGTGTTACCAGCAGGGAGTGACAAAAGACAAGTGTTGGAAATTGCATCCGGAGCTTCTTCCCCTTCGTTTTCAAAAGAAGTCTGATAATATGAAGGCAGGGAGTGCCAATATTGCTGCTGGTCCAGATAATGACAAATGCCTAACTGAAGAGAGGACTACTAGTGAGCAGTTAGCAACTATAAAGGCAGAGTATGAGAAGTTTGGAAGGATGATTAGTCACCTAGAGGGTGCCTCTTCTTCCAATCCTCCGGGAAATTCAACCTCTTCTGCATTTGCTCATTCAGGTATACGGACTTCTGCCAATCATGCAACTATCTCAGGTTATTTTTTATGATTTGCTTCCTGGCCATGACAAAATCACCCTAGCCGATGGCTCTCTTGCTCCTATCTCTGGCAAGGGAGCCATCAAGGCTACAAACTCTTTGGTACTTCCTTCTACTCTTCATGTACCCAAACCAAATACAAATTTGTTATCTGTAAGTAGCCTAACTAAGTCTTTGAATTGTTGTATAACCTTTTTTCCTTCTTATTGTGTTTTTTAGGATCTGGAGTTTCAAAAAGTGATTGGGAGTGGCCATGAGGCGAATGGAATATATCTGCTAGACACTCCTAGACAGGGCCATGGACAACCTGGGAAAGTTGCCTTTGGATCTACATCTTCAGAGTCTGTCAGTCGTGTCATGTTATGTCATTTTCGTTTGGGTCATCTTTCTTT